TTGCTGAGGCTGGCTTTGAACTGGTGATCCTTCTGCCTCAGCTTCCGAAGCCGCTGGGATGACCGGAGTGCACCACCGTGCCCGACTAGCATAGTGTTTAAGTGAGGCCCAAGGAACCCCAACATGATTTCTCCCTCAAGGTCCTCGAGGTCCACACACTTCATTTAGGAAGGTTCTCTGGTTAGCTGTGCACGATCCTAACGGCCACTCATGTTTCCCCAGGAGCGCTGCAAGAGCACCGCAGACCAGGATCAACCTCGACACTGTCAGCGAAGATTGTCTGTGCTCTGCACTGGGCCACGGGATGACTCAGGAGTGTGATGAGTGCTGTTTCCCCATGGGCTTGAAGCTTGCTATCCTTGGCATCCTCCTCATTGTTGTATTTGTCTACTTAACTGTGGAAAGAGAACCACTCTTTAGATAAGTCCTTTAGGAGCAAAGCAACATGATAGTGCTTGAATAATGCCTTCAGCAAGCCCTTCAAAGGGGCTACCATACCCCTGGCCAGGCAGCCTTCCCTGGCTGATCTGTGCCTGGGTTTAGCCAGGTGAAAGGAAAGGGGGAGAACCAGGCAGCTGTGAGTTAAGATCACGATGTTTAGGAAAACCTCAATCATGTAAACCATCATTAAAGGTGCTTCCACACAAGAGCAAGCAGGTTTCTCCTCTCTCTTGATGCAGTGTGGGGATTGAACCCAGGGGTGCTTTACCACTGAGCTCTGTAGCTCCAAACCCTTTTTCCTTTTAATTTTTGAGACAGGGTCTCACTGAGTTACTGAAGCTGGCTTTGAATTGGTGATCCTCCTGCCTCCTGAGTCACTGGGATTACAGCCATGAGCCACCACCCTGGTGATAAGAGCAGACTTTTGAAAAGGGACCTCTGATTGATGTTTTTTCTTTTTATTTCCCAAACCAAAGGTTCACATTTTTTTTTACTATTTATTTTTAAGTTTTAGGTGGACACAATATCTTTATTTTACATGTATGTGGTGCTGAGGATCGAACCCAGTGCCTCGTGCATGCTAGGCGAGTACTCTACCACTGAGCCACAACCCCAGCCCCCCTGGTTTCCATGTTTTTAAGAGTGAGTCAACCTACTAGTGCATCCCAATAAAACGTATCCAGTTGTCCAGAAAGGGGTGCCGTTGCAGCGTGATGCAGCCTAAGGTGGTCGTGAGTTGGATTCAGTATGAACATGTGTGCCATCTCAGGGGTAATGCCAGCTGGGTTCTTCTTCAGTGAGTTTGTACCTGATCTATTTATCAGTTTTCATCCAAATTTATTGGGGAATAGGATGGTTTTCTTTGGTTTCTAGGCTAGGAATCCCTTGATCCTGAAAGTCTTGTGAGAAGACCCAGCGAGGCACACAGAGCCAAGCACCACCATGATGGCAGAGAAAAGGGGAGATCACATTTACCAGGGTGGTGAGCCATAGGTCACATGGGATTCAGTCTTCAAACTGTAGAGGGTGGGAAAGCCTACAACAGCCAGTTAACAACAGAGGCCTGGGGATGTGGCTCCAGTGGTAGAGGGCTTGCCTAGCATTCGCCAGCACCAAATAAACAAAAATAAATACATCAAAGAAGAATGTGTCTGATTTAACAAATGCAAAGAAATGTCCAACATCATGGCAACAATCTAGAACAAGAGAGCACTTTTATCCTTGAAACTTAGGATCTAAAAATTAGGACTTGGGAGCTGTAATGACCATGACCTCCAGGCCCAGGCACAGCAGCATAGGCACCTGGCTTCTGTCTTTATTGGCTGTGTGACCTAGGGTGAATGAGTTGTCCTCTCTGAGTTTCTATTGCAACTTCTGAAAATAGGGATAGAATAGACCTGGTAGGGTGATAAAGGATTTAAAGAATTAAACATATAAAATACTGGGGTCTACACTTGACTTGTGGTAAGCACTTAATGCTTAAAGAATGTTATTCTTGGGTACAATATTTTTATTTCTGGGAGGAGCTGATTCTGGATACAAGAAGTCTCATAGGTACTGACCAAGAAATGTACTGTAGCAATTTTTATGGAGGCCTACCCCAATATCCAATAATGGGAAAATCATTTAATATATGGAAGTATGTGCTCTTGAAGGATGATGATAGAATATTTTTAATGGTAATACTGAATTTATCATGATATATAGGAAGTGCTTATTTGAAACTTTTTTTTAAAGAGAGTGAGAGAGAGAGAGAATTTTTTTTTAATATTTATTTTTTAGTTCTCGGCGGACACAACATCTTTGTTGGTATGTGGTGCTGAGGATCGAACCCGGGCMGCACGCAKGCCAGGCGAGCGCACTACTGCTTGAGCCACATACCCAGCCCCTATTTGACACTTTTAATAATAGTTTCCCTGAGATATTCTTTGTATGTTATACAATTCACCTAACGTATAATTCAACAGTTTTTAGTATATTCATAGACTTATACAACTATCCCCAGAATAAATTTTAGAATATTTTCATCATCCCCAAAGGAAATCCCTAAGATGCTGATTCTTTTAAAAGGTAATCAAAAAAGGGCACAAATACATTGTACCCTATAATCACAACTGACAACCCTGGATGAAAATGGGTCAAAATGTTAGCACTGCTTTGATGTCTGGGGACTCTATTTTTCTCCYTCTTATATTTCTACTTCTTCATATTTAAAAAATATTTCTATAAATAGTGTATGTTAATGTGCTAATGAGAGAAAACAAGTTGTATACAAGCAAGAGGTGGCATGTGCCTGTAGTCATACAACTTGGCAGGCTGAGGCAGGAGGATCACTTGAGCCAAGGAGTTCAAGGTCATCCTGAGTAACAGTGAGACCTTCATCACAACAGCAACAACAGCAAAATTGTGTATTGACTTATAGTTTGACTGCAAGGAATATAAAACCCCAATAAGAATGGCTTAAATAGTAATTTATTTATTTATTTATTTATTTATTTATTTATTTGGTATTGGGAATTGAACTCAGGAGTGCTTAACCACTGAGCTACATCCACAGCCCTTTTAAAGTTTCATTTTGAGACAGAGTCTCACTAATTTGCTTAGGGCCTTACTAAATTGCTGAGGCTGGCTTTGAACTTTCATCCTCCTGCCTCAGCCTCCCGAGCTACTGGGATTACAGGGGTGCATCACCATGCACAGTGCCAACTGGTTCTTACACATCAGAATCCTGGAATCAGTTTAAAGAAACTGCATAAGACTCCAGTTTTGTGACTTTCCACTGAAAGCATGGGCCCCCAACTAACAGCACCCCCAACTCCCAAGTCAGAACCTGCTCTGTTTTTGTTTTTTGTTTTCCTTCAGTGCTAAAGATGGAGCCCAGGGCCTCACACATGCTGGGCTAGTGCTCATTGAGTTATATTCCCACACACCCCCCATCTTTTTTAGAGATAGAACTCTACTATGTTGCCCTGGCTGCTCTTGAACTTGGTGTCCCCCTGCCTCAGGCTCCCAAGCAGCTGGGATTGCAGATGCAGCACCACTCCCACTTCAGAACCTKCATTTCAACTGGATTCCTATTCATATTAAAGCAGTGCTATGGTCCATCCCTATCGAGRGTGGTTAGAAGACACAAGAGAGGTAGAAAGGAGACATTCCAGACAAAACAAAGAGTGTGGTCATATCTAAAGTCCACATTCAAAGTCTAACTTCACATGAGTCCAGATTTAAAAGTCCAGATTTAAAAGTCACTAACAGCACTATTAAATTGGTCGTTAGACCTCATCCAMAGGTACCCCCATGTAGTCCTGTTTAAATTCACAAAGCAGAATGCATCACAAACAATAAAAGAAAAGAACCTCTCACTAAAGTCATTTTCAACATGTCAGCAAGTGACCCCTGTCCTGGTAAAGGACAACATGTACAGTTGCCAACACAAAGGAGAACCAAAAACATCATCTTAGATCATGCCCCTGTCCTATCCATCTTACGTGTGTAAATATGCACGTTCCTCTCCAATGCCCGTGGTCTATTCTGTGTCCCAGAGTGTGTACTTCTTTCCTTCCCTCAATAAATTCAATCTCACTTTGAACCTTTTTGTGACTAGGTCAAGGAGCCTCATGGTCTGAGTTGAGGCTCACCGCTGTTTTGGGGGGTACCTCCTCAGGACCCTTGTCCCAGTGATACCTTTCAGATGCTGTAATATTGTGATTTAATAAGAAATACCTATTTGGTTYCTGCAGCTGGTTCCTGGCCCACAGCATTTTGGTTGCTGAAGGTCAAGGAGGTCACGTGACCAGCGATGTAATCAAACATGCCTGCATGACAAAGACTTACAAACACCTGAAAGGATAGTGTTTGGGGAGCTACCATAGATCAAATGATGATAGAGGAGTCGTTGAATCCACTAAGGGTCCTGGAGGCTGTGTGTCTGTCCAGAGACAGCAGGAAATCTCCACGCCCTTTCTCTCTGCCTTGCCCTATGCATCTCTTCCATCTGGCTCTTCATCTGAATCTTTCATTATATCCTTAATTAATACATCAGTAAATACAAGTAAATGCCTCTCTTAGTTCTATGAGCCACTGTAGCAAATGAATTGAACTCAAGGAGAAGGTCATGGGAACCCTGATTTCTAGCCTGTCAGGAACATAGGTGAAACAAGCTGCAGCTTTTGACTGATATCTGAAGGGGGCACCACCTGTGGGATCTGATGCCATCTCCAGGTAGTGTCAGAACTGAATTGAATCCAAGGATATCCAGATATAGTGTCCATTGGAGATTCTGATGTCAGATTTGTTTGATAAGAAAGAGGAAAACCTGCTGATCTGGTATCAGAAGCATTTTGTTGTATGAGAATAGGGGAAAAAACACCTTATTTTTTTCCCATCTCTAATAGATGCTTACATTGGAGTTCTAAGATTCAGGCTAGAGGACCAATGGCGTAAGTCTGTTGGGAGTCCATGCACAATGGAGACTCGCTCCCACAGGGAGAAAAACTTGTCTTGAAAGAAGACGGAAGGCATCTACATTCAACAAGTGACTTAGCTCCTCTATGCACTGCAATAAAACGACAAAATCAATATAAGATCCCTCCAGGAACACACAGAGGTGGGGAGAAGATGGAGAAGTCAAGAGAGGTGGCCGTGTTAATTGACAGCCTTTGGATAATGGCATGGGCCGCCCAGGGGGCCACCATCTCCAATGCTGGCACCGGGCATGGGAGCTTCCTAGAGAAAATGATGTCACAGCTGAACCAGAAGGATGAGTAGGATTCAGTCCAAAGAAGGGGGAGAAAAGTGGGTGAGGCTAAAGGAAAGTCTGCCAGGCGGAGAGCCGTGTTTACACAGCCTCCCTAGTGCRTATGGCAGTGTGCGGAGCCGCGAGATGGAGACGAAGGATGTGGCTGGGAAAGAAGGCAGAATTCTGATCATCGAGGGCCTGGGGGACCATAAGAAGGAGAAGAGGGTCCATTTTTAGGGATAGTT